AAAACAACTGGTCCAGTGTATACTAAAAATAGTCTAAGCTCAGTTGTTTTCCATTTTTTAATATCTAATTAAGACCTTGATTTTCTATAAAAATTTCTTGGAATGTAATGACGTATCTGGAACAATCCGCCAGATAAAGTATTGACTGTAATCTGAGACAATTTACAACATTTGGGCAATTTAGCCATAAGTTGACAAATCTTCGCATTACCCCTAAGCATACTAGATGCATTAAGTCTAAAGGAAACTTTGTCAACATGTCAAAATTTAATTCAATTTAACACACCACTAAGATGCTCAGAATGCTTTTAATGACAAAAAATCTGAATCAGTGCTTAAAATTAGTGAAATATGTAGGAGAATTATCTTGCCACACCACTCTCCTTTCTAAGCACAACATTCACATCAGTTATAACCATTGTGTCCTTTAATACACTTAACAAATGCTCTAGCTGGTGCATCACATATGATAACAGCAAGATTGATTTTAAACTCAATATTTTCATAGATAAAACCATCTTTTGCAAGAACTTTGAAATCTACCAAAAAATTATGTAGACAATTAAGGTGACCTGCTATTCTCATTTACTGAGTTTTTTTACTCCTTTTTCACAAACCGTACTTTTTTCAAATCTTGTACTCTGAAAGTACTCATTTGTATAATTTTGTACTCATTTGTATTTCTAAAACATTTTTTTTTATATTATTTCATTTCAATTTTATTAATTAAATATTTAAAATTATTTTGACAGTGATTTGAATTTCATGCACACATATTGCTTGCCGTTTCCAGCACGTCAGAGGACAGGGCAAGTTTCCAGCACGTCAGAGGACAGGGATACAAGTTTGACAGTGATTTAAATTTTGAACGCACATATGGCTGCCCATTTCAACACAATTGAGAGGCCGTATTAAATACCTGGAGAGATAGATAGAAACTACAGACCTCTTTTTCTAACAACGTCAAAATTACATTTGTGAAAAGAGATGGATCCAACATTTTTGTATGTAATCCCCAGGCTGATCTTTGATGTGCAGTATGTACGCCATGCTTGACAGTCTTGACACATGCGTAGTATGTACAGCAAAGTTTTTTATATTTATTTAATTAAATAAAAGGATAACAAAAACCTTACTGTACATACTACGCATGCGCTTATGGTTAATTAACCATAAAATCAAAAATTACAAACTTAATTATAATTTACAAATTTATGTTCGGTGTCACTCATATTAAAAACAAGTCAATGGAGCGACACCTTCATAAAATAAACAAATAAAATAAAAAATAATAAGAAAGAAAGAAAACTACATTAATACAAGTAATAAAAAAAGAAGTATAAGGAACAATACTATTTAAAAAGTTGGAATTAACACAAAAATATAAAAGAGTAATGCTAAGAAAAATGAAAAAAAAAAGAGAAAATGAACGGATGAGATAAGATGAGTGAGAAAATATGTAAGAGAAAACAAAAACTTAATCACATAAGTTCAGAAGGATAAAGTGACAGAAAACTTTTTTTGCAGAAAAATATAAAAAAACAAATTAAAGGCAAATTTAAATAAAAAAATATATACATACACTACTATATACAATATTAAAGTCTATGTTAAAGCCTATAAACTGACCGCTTTGGAAGATTCCGATCCCAGAAAAAAAAAAAAAAAATTAAAAGAAGTTAAAAAATTTTTATAAAATTTGCTATGAATATACCGAAGAATGGATAATGAACTTAAGAGCATTAAATTGTTTTAAATGGACCCTTATAAATAGTAAAATTTAATGGAAAAAAGTTTCTTCAGCAGTCGAATTTGTAATAAAGAAAGTAAAAGATATTGTTATTAATGACAATTTTCTTTTTGAAGAAATTGGAAGAATAAATTTGTTTTTAAATGAAGAAAAATTGAAGAAATGGAACAATGAGAAAATAGAACTTGAAAAAAGATGGTTAGAAATCTTTCGGCATTTTAGAGTAGAACATATCCCACATGAAAATTTAAAAGTTTTAACAGAAATTTCTTTATGTTGTCCAGGCACTAATGCTGCTGTTGAAAAGGTTTTTTCACTGAGGAATGATTATTGGAGCAGTGAGAAGTTGCAACTTTCTGTAAAAACATTATATGCCGTCTTAACAGTCAAATTTAATATGAAATTTAATGTTTGGATGCAGCTACATTATTAGACGAACATCCTCATCTAGCAAAAAAAATCCACTCTGACGAAAAATATGTTTTAAAAAAATTATAAAGTTTTTTATCGTTTTATCTTCCTTTTTTTTTTTACCTATGAAATACTTGCAAAGTGTACTCTTTTTGAACAAAAAATAGTTGGTCCCCTTAAGATAATTAATAATGGAATTAGATTTTTGGGCACCACTTTTTTAACAAATTTCTAAAAACATAATTTAGGTCCCCTAATATTGTAAGTCCTAGGCCTAAGCTCTGATGGCAACATTTATAAATAGCAACAACTTTTAGCAAATTTTATTTAAAATTTACATGTATGTTTAAATTTTGTCACTATTTTAGATTTTAACTCTATAAATATTTTATATAAAAATATATTTTAAATAAAATATTTATGGAGTAATATTCTCTTTTACTATCAGCTATCAAGATGATTAAACTGACTTGATCAGCTTCAGCATTAATCTGAAGCTAATGAGTTTATAGCTGAAGCTGAAATATCAGCTGTAACCCTTACTTTATAGACAACATAGTTAATGTTATGTATATACATTATAATAATAAATGTGTTTTTTTTATACTCAAATACTTATTTTTTTATTCTATGATACATTTAAAGATTTTTTTTTAAACACATGTTTTTTTATAATATTTAATACTTAGGAAATACTGACTTTTGCCGAATATTCTTTAGATAAAAAAAAATATTCACTTACATTACTCTAATCGAGGTTATTAACAACGGCAATATTTACTCAAGTTATTATATTTGTCCCCCAAAGTTAATGTAGCTCTATTATACATAAGTCTCTCACTAATTCTAATAATAAAAAGTTATTGCCATTATTATTATAATTATATTTACTAACCTGTTATTATTAATATTTATCAAAAACACATTCTGGTTGTTGAAGTCACTTTTACTCATATCAATATGCAAATATTGTAAACAGTCAGAGTGCACCATGCAGAAATATTCTTCAACATGCTGCAAAATACAAGATATACATAACATACATATCATATAAGACCTATTGCCTGGAACTTAACATTTTATGTTGTTTAACTTACTGTAACTCAATTATAATAAATAAGCATATGGTTATAATCTATATAATAAATAACATCTTTTTTTAGTTATTGTTATTTATGTAAAAGTTATTAAGTTAAATTAAAGTTTTATAACTAAAGTTTGAATGCAAAAGTTTATATCAATAAAATTTTTATTAGTATTATAAACATAATTATTATATTACAAGTATTTACAAGTATAGGTATTGTAAGTATAAGTTATTATTATGTATATTATAAAATTATTGTTTAAATTGCAAGTGTACAATTTTAAATCATAATCAAAAAATATTAATGATTGAAAAATGAGGTTGATGCATAACAATAAAGCCATATTTTTGCATTTAAACATCTAATTATATCTTTATTTATATCTGACAGTGGGTAAACTTCGTTAACATTTTGCTTGCATAAAATATAGAAAAATCAATGGAAAAGAGTGGATCTGTAAAAACGATTTAAAAGCTTTTAATTCCCTAAATATAACCTATCCATTACATTCTATTCGCCTGTTTGCTCTTTTTAAATGTTTCTGACTAAACTAATATTTTGATTAAACTCAAACCATTTATTATCTAATTATATCACTAGCTGCTAGTTTGCACTGTTTGCATTTTTAAAATGATCAAAATATAAAGTTTTGTTTCTGCGAGTGACTAGCAAAAACAAAACTTTATATTTTGATTATTTTAAAAATGCAAACAGTGTCTCAATGGAACATTTACTACATGTTTAATAGTTTCTGGAACATATGTTCAACAAATATGTTGAACTTTGTAAATTCATTTAAAAAATAGTATATATGTATACATATTAAAAAGAATTTTTTTTTTGATGTGTTTTGTCACTGTAAAACTCAGTTAAAAAGACGTTGTTTTAAAATTTCATTTATTTATTATCATTATAAAAGAATTTTTATATATACATATATATACATATTATGTATATATATGTATATATATATTAAAAAAAATTTTTTTTTTGATGTGTTTTGTCACTGTAAAACTCAGTTAAAAAGACGTTGTTTTAAAATTTCATTTATTTATTATCATTATAAAAGAATTTTTATATATACATATATATACATATTATGTATATATATGTATATATATATTAAAAAAAATTTTTTTTTTGATGTGTTTTGTCACTGTAAAACTCAGTTAAAAAGACGTTGTTTTAAAATTTCATTTATTTATTATCATTATAAAAGAGTTTTTATATATACATATATATACATAATATGTTATATATATACATATATATAAAACAATTCAAAAAAAAATTCTTTTTAATTACAATGTAAATATAAAGTATTCAAAAAATGTAATGCATAAAAGTTAAATTTTTAATCTTATTTCACGCACAAAACGAATTAAAAAGGGCAACCATAGAGTAAATTTTGTTATGATTTTTTTTAAACCTTTTGGGAACCTTATGGGAAACCCGTCAAATCCCCAGGTTATTCGGCCCTGATAAAAACCAGATAAAACCCTAACGAGCAAATATGCTTGATTTTATTACCATATGGGACCCGTCTGGAAACCAAAACACTTACCCGTCAAAATCCCGTTCCCGTAAGCCCAGACACAAACCATACGGTACCCGTCTGTCAATGTTGGCTGGGTAGCAGAAACTACCTAGCCAACATTGTCTGTCAATGTTGGCTGGGTAGTGCTATTTAATGTCGTTCATTCTAACATTTCCGATTTTGAAGAAATCGCAGACCTAGAACTGTTTTTTGGAATGTTATACGCATGCGTTACTTTCATGTTATTTCAAGTTTTGAAACCTCGTGGCGCACGTAATAAATATAAAGTATTTCTAATTATTAAGTATTCTTTATTGTTTATTATTATATTGTATGTAATTTTTCTTAATTCGTTTTAGAGATGTAAATTTTTATTAAATTTAAAGTTATTAAATAAGTAATATTTTGTATTTATTTTCTTGTAGTTCAACTTATTTTCAATACATTTTCCTAATTCGGGTATTTATTCTTGACTGTGAAATGAATGAAGATAGTTGTTCACTTGAATTAGAACTTCCACAAGGTAAGATCTCTTAAGTAAGGTTGAGGAATCTTGTAATGAGAGTGCTGATTAAAAAATGTGTATTTAACTTTTTTAAGAAACAATGATGGCAGTTGACTCTAATCTTTCTGTTGAAAAGCATTTTTTTGCCACATATGCCGATGTTTGCGCAAAAATTAAAGAGCATGAAATGTTGCACACATTGCATTATGTTGTAACTTGCTCAGGAACCATGGAAAATAACTTTGAAGGTAGGCAAATTAATTTAAGGAGCTAAACTGTGCTAAAACATAAATTACAAATGTTAAACTTCTTCCGTTTATATTTGCTTGAAAAATTGTAATGAGTTATATTTTTATTATTATGTAGAATTATTAAAAAAAAAAACATAAAGTGTTTTACAAGGACAAGGAATTTCCATACACTGGAGTACCATTTATTGTATCAGCTCTAACAAAACTTGACTGTCAACATGGAAAAGACAGAAATATTAAAGCAAAAGCTCAATACAGACAAATGAGAAATAATAAAGCTGTATGTACAAAAAAAAATTTCAATTTAGTTCAAAGTATAAATAAGTTTTAAAAGAATAATTTAAAGAAATCTTGTTTTGGATTTATTAATATTGTTTTATATTGCAATTTTTAACATCTGTTTTGTCAGTTAGTTAATAAACAATGTGAATTTTATTTAATTTTTTTTTTCTTAATGCATAGAGTACCGATCATTACTGTCAAAAAAGTAGAGTTATTCTTCAGGATACTAAAAAGTTTGATTGTCCTGCCATTGTGTATATAAAAGAAATTGTAGAGTTTCCAGAGTTTAAGGTATTGGTATTTATTAGTGTGACACACTATAATCCTTATGTTCATAAACACATACTCTGATCTTAAACAGTTTAATAACCATTTTCTAGTATGAAAACCTTATAGCAAATTATTTCTAATTTTATAGCTTTTAAGAAATTCTTTAAGGTTAAGAAATGAAACATCTAAAAAACTCAGTGTATCCTTAGCTAAGTCAGAAAATGTACATAAGTCCAGAAAGTATATTTTATTATTGCCTGATATTTCTGTTCATAGGAACCATCCAGTTGGTGAGGTCAGTGATGTAATTTTGTTAATATATCTAATAATTTTATTCAAGTTGTTTTTGCTTTTTTGATTTTGTTTTTAATTTTTTTTTATTACTACAATATCTTTTTTTGTTGTTGTAGACTGCAGGAATCAATCAATCTATTTCTGATGATCTCATAGTAAAAATTGGTGACCTGGTAAAAAAGGGTGTCAATACTATTTCTGAAATGAGGCGACATCTAGAGTTTTTTGTTCATGGAGAAATTACTTCTGACAAACCACAAAAGACAAACAAACGTTTCTTTCCAATGGATAAGACAATTCGAAATCGTATGCTCAATGCAAGAAGAAAACTTCGTAGATCTATGATAGATCAAGAATGTTTGCTTGAAAAAAATTAGTGAATGGAAAATAGTCTTTCATGAGGCAATGATAAAATTTAGACCAAAAGGTGTCAACATCATTGATTATATTGATTCAAAGCTTAAGGATTCATTATTGTTCGTATATCAAGACATGTGGCAGAAAAGATTACTCTTACGGTATGGACCTGAACTAGTTTTTCTTGATGCAACATATCGCACAACTAGATACGCTCTTCCACTATTCTTTCTGGTTGTTAAAACTAATATTGATTACCAGGTTGTTGCCATTTTTGTGTGTGAGAATGAGACCACAGACGCCATCACAGAAGCATTAATGTGCATTAAGGAATGGAACCCTAAATTTCAACCAAAATATTTCTTAACTGATTATTCAAATGAAGAAATAAACTCATTAGAATCAGTGTTTCCAGGTTAACGTTGTTATTCATTTATTGTGTTTTATTTAATATTTTATTGTTATATGATCATTTAAACCAAATCCAACTTGCTGTTTTTAGGGTGTTCTGTTTTAATTTGTGACTTTCATCGAGAGCAATCTTGGGAACGATGGCTTTCTAAAACTGCTAATGGTTGTTATATGGTAAAAGATGCAATTAAGTTAAAACTACATCAAATTGCTCATGCTAAAACAGAAGAAGTTTGCAAAAATGCTGTTAATTCATTAAAAGAATCAGAAGAGTGGAAAAATAACCCAAAACTAGCTGATTACTTAAATAGCACTTGGTTATGTAATGAAAAGGTTGATTTAATTTCATTTAAATATAACTAAATTTTCATTTTCGTTCATCATTAAGGGGGTTCTTATTAAGATAATTTTGCATACTATTTACTCCGGGTTGCCAAATTGGCCTCTTCATAACCAAATCCATAAATCTGACCGGTGCAAAAAATAATCTGCTGATTGCCAACATGACTTTGTTTGGCTTTTTTGTTCCAATATTTTAAATTTTTAATTGGCTTAGGATTTTTATTTTATTAAGCGTAAACTAATGTAATTTTCAAATTTTTATATTATTATTGCCATTAATGCCTATTTCATTTATAAAAATGATTATATAAAAAAATTTAAATTTTAAAGAATATATACTAATTTAAACGAAAACATTTTTATAGATTTAATTATCAACACTTATTCTCTCTGAAAACACAAGTTTTCCCTTTCTTTTGTAACAATTCTTCTTTTTTAGAGATGGGTGTTTGCCTACAGGCGACAACGCTTATTGCAGAGTATCAATACTAATAATGGCACTGAAAGACAAAACCAATCTTTTAAATATAGTTTTTTGGAAAAATGGAAAACATCATCTCTCACAGCTATGCTTTGTATTTGTATTGAGGAATTCCTTCCTCACAATTACGACAAGTTAGTTATTTTCAAGTTTAAACCACCTACTTTGCATCCCTGATCTATAAACACACACACATGAATATATATATATATATATATATATATATATATATATATATATATATATATATATATATATATATATATATATATATATATACATATATATACATATATATACATATATATATATATATATATATATATATATATATATATATATATATATATATATATATATATATATATATATATATATATATATATATATATATATATATATATATAGATAGAGAGAGAGAGATCAGGGATATCAGGGATGCGGAGTACCAGAGCTTCTTTCTAGTTCTTGATATCCCGTAGGTCTGAAAAGAAATAAAGTTTATGTATTTATAGTAGAAAATAAAATTAATACTTTTAGGTAAGAGGAGCAATCATTTTTTGAACCCTGAGTCCTTAGGTAGAATGACAGCAAAGACTCTAAGATAACCTTAAAATGGTTATTTTCTACGATTTTACTTGTGCAAATAATATTATACAATAAATTGTAAATATATAGAGAGCGACAATGAAAGTGAGAGTTTACATACATATAATATATGATTTTATATATTTAAGTATAAAGTATAAAGCTGTTTTGGTAAACAGCAAATAATTTTTAGTTGTTGAATGTAAATTAGTTGAACATAAATTAAACAATCACTTTTGTTATTTAGCTATGCAGATAAAAATAGAAGAACACATTCATCCTATAGAAAATATAAAGAAAACATTCCAACCTATTTGACAAATCGTCCAAAACCTTTAGTAAAACATTGCATGAATATGATAGATAAAGTAAATGGTGTGGACTCAATCAGAATTAGTGCAGTAACAAACAGATTGTACAATGTAGCCTCATTTCAGTCTAATAGCAGAGAAACTTACCAATGCTATCTTGGTGATGCTGATCATTTGCCAAGTTGTACTTGCTCTTCTTGGCTATTTAGTGCTTATCCATGCAAACATTTTTTTTCCATTTTTCTCAAGTTCAATCTTTCCTGGTCTGATTTTGATCCATCTTATGGAAGTTCACCATATTTTATCATTGATCCCTTATCAGATGAAAATAATCATTCAACAACGTTTCATTTTACACGTTTGCCTACTGAAGATATATCTGAAAATATCAATGAGAAGCCTCTTGATAATGCCAAACCTTGGGAAGTGTCTAAATATAATCTTCAGGCAGTCAAAAGTGTTCATTCCATAAATAGTAAAGTCTTGTACTTTGATCAAAGTAAAAAACATGGTCAATCACAAGTAAGTCACACTCCTGCTGCATGTCGCGAACTTTTAAATGCAATAATAAACATGACACATTTGAGTGACTCTCAACCAGCAATAAACAATTTGTTTCAAGAACTTCATAAACTTAAAACAAGTTTTGGAGAAACTCTTAAAAGAGAGCAAGGTGTTATTTTGTGTCCTGACCTAAAACCTGAAACTTGGATTAAATCTAATTTACCAAGTCTTGTTAATCTTCCCGTAAGACGCAAAAGGAAGTTGACCAAAAGAGTTGGTATAAAACACGACATCACTAAGGCAGCTTTAAATATCAATGTGACACCAAATGTAAATAATGGATGTTGTAGTTCAGAGATTTTTACTGATGTTATTGATGATAATTGTGAAACATTTACAGTTTCCATGGAATCAATTGAAGTGACAGGAGAAGCATTTGATAATTGCCAAGAATTCCACAAAGTCAACATAGTTAATGATAATGACAAACTTCAAAGCACTGTGCACTGCATTCAGAATCTTAAATGCTCCTTGATCCAAAATGTTGAAAAAAATGACATAGTTAAAGGAGAAATGCTAAACGATAATGTCATACACTTTTGTCAACGAATGATGTCAATTCAATTTAATGTATCATCTTTTTGTAATTACATTTTGTACTTAAAATAATGTTTTTATAATTATTGTTATAACCTTTTAGAATTGAAGAAAAGGGAAGAAGCTTTGTCTTCAGGTAAAAAAGAAAACAAATAAATAATTACTCTCTTTTGTTACTTATCAAATCATTCATTTCAAGTACATCAATTGTTAAAAGTAATCTAGTTCTAATTTTGTTATAGAAGAGTTGGAGCCGACTCGCTCAAGATCATGTGGATCAAAATAAAGTATAAAATTTCCTATTCACAGTATTTTTTAAGATAATACTTTATGATGTATCATCTTTTTGTAATTACATTTTGTACTTAAAATAATGTTTTTATAATTATTGTTATAACCTTTTAGAATTGAAGAAAAGGGAAGAAGCTTTGTCATCAGGTAAAAAAGAAAACAAATAAATAATTACTCTCTTTTGTTACTTATCAAATCATTCATTGCATGTACATCGATTGTTAAAAGTAATCTAGTTCTAATTTTGTTATAGAAGAGTCGGAGCCGACTCGCTTAAGATCATGTGGATCAAAGAAAAGTATAAAAATTTCTATTCACAGTATTTTAAAGATATTACTTTATTATGTATCATCTTTTTGTAATTACATTTTGTAATTAAAATAATGTTTTTATAATTATTGTTATAACCTTTTAGAATTGAAGAAAAGGGAAGAGGTTTTGTCGTCAGGTAAAAAAAAAAACAAATAATTACTCTCTTTTGTTACTTATCAAATCATTCATTTCAAGTACATCAATTGTTAAAAGTAATCTAGTTCTAATTTTGTTATAGAAGAATCGGAGCCGACTCGATCAAGATCTAGTGGATCAAAGAAAAGTATAAAATTTCTTATTTGCAGTATTTTTTAAGATAATACTTTATGATGTATCATCATTTTGTAATTTTATATTTTATTCCATTTTTAGCTGTAGAAAAAATGCTGCTTCAGTTAAGTGAGTTTTATCAATAATTTTTTTGTTTTTTGAGTCTTATCATTTGTTTTTTTATTTTAGTAAACATGCATGTATCCAAGACTATTGACCATATCGTTTTGATTGCTATATAATTTATCTCATTGTTTAAAAAGTACTATTAACAATCAATAACAATTTCCACTTGAATTAAGTGTCTTTGATATGTCAATCAAATTACTTTGTCTTATGCAATAGGCAACTTAATACATACATATTTTGGTATGTGTTTTGGGCACTGGTTAAATCATTTGATATCATGTCAGTGAATTTACATTTATAATAGAGAAATATAAAATTATAAAAAAAATTTTTGCTTATGTTATAATGAATGTTTTCTTTTTGTTGTTTTAGTGGAAAAAGATACCTGTACGTTTTTAATGTTATCGTTTATTTGTTGTAGAAACTTAAAGTGATCTTTTATATAACATGTTTACTTCAATTTTAAAAAATTAAATCATTTTTCATTTCATTTACCTCTTTAGTACTACGTGTGAAGCAATTAGAAGAAGATAAAGGTTTTTTAAGTTCTACTTTATACTAGATAGATATTTAAACTATATAAACTATCCTATTATTAAACTGAAATATTTGCATTTACTTTTCAGATACAGTAACGTTTTCTTCACAAGCCACAAACGGTATTGGTATTATTTTGAGTGTGATACTTTAAAAATCATACATTACATATTCCTTACATATTTTGTTTATTCTAATGTTAGATTTGTCCTACGATGGCTATCGTATTTACCGTCGACGGCATCGTGGGCCCACTTCCTACAGCTCCTACAGGAAGTGGGTCAACAATAACGGAGTTGACAACTCCTCCTTTAATTGGAAGGGAAGAATGAGAGGAGGCGGCAGAGGTCGGGGTGGGTGGCATAATCATAAAAATTTTAACTTATTTAAACTTTAAATATATTGTAAATAAATGTTTAGTTTTTCTTGTTGTTTAAAAACGTCAATTTTGTTTTTTCAAAAAAGTGACAACGGATCTCTAATACACTGAATTGACATTTACTAAATTAACATTAACAAAAGCGGATCTCAACGCTAATAAAACATTTTTTGCATTTGTTAATTAAATTAATCTAATTTAAATGTCATAAGTTAATTAAATTAATCTAATTTAATGTCTTGCTTGCCTTCAAAGTACAAGTCCGATTTGGTATCTCTTTTGACTGGAAGAAAAAGTCTTATATCCTATGTAAATTAACATTTATTCTTTTTAAATTAAAATTAAAACTTTTATATGCTAATACACGTATTTGCATAGTAGCCCTCTAATATTGGCCTATGGAATGCTTATTGATTGACTTACAAAAATCTTTTTTTTTGTATTTTTGTGAAAGTTGATTGTTTTGTATAACAATCTACTTTCACGTAGATAGATGAAAATTACGTATATATATTTAGATTACGTAATTTTCACGTAATACTCAAAACAAGCGAAGAACAGGAAAACCATACATTAAAAATGCATAGAGCATAAAAGACCTTTTTGACTCGGTTTATGAAGTTCTTTGAACCAGGGATTATCAAAACACACAATTGTACATACTCATTTATTTACTAAAAAAAATAATTTATATTGTTCTATAATTAATGAGGAACTTAAAAAACCAATTTGCAAAAAATTGATTTTATTTTGAAAAATTTCGGAATTAATAGGGATGTCAACTAATGATCCTGATGAGAATGTTATCTTGACACTACATGGATAATTGGATATTAAAACACCTATATTTTGATCATTTACATTTCAATACACTTATGCTCATCATTCGAATATTTATACTGGTACTCTTAGAAGCTATATTTGTTGATTTATGCCTATAAGGTTATACTTTAATAAGATTGAGTCATTAAAACATTCTAACTTCTATTCAACATAAAAAATGTGTGAAATAGCTATTGTAATGTATATAATACATATAAATGATTTAGGGATACTTTGGAGAATATCTGTATATATAATCATAATGATATATATATATGTGTGTATATGTATATATATATACATATATATATATATATATATATATATATATATATATATATATATATATATATATATATATATATATATATATATATATATATATATATATATATATATATATATATATATATATATATATGTGTGTGTGTGTGTGAGAGCATACACAGGTGTGAGTACATTCATGCTCATATGTGTTTGCATTAATACACATATAATCTTGTTTATCAGTGTGTGTATATGTATTTATTTATGTGCTATAATGTATTTGTATGTTTGTATTTTCTTCAATGTATTTATATATATGTTTAATATAATACTACTAGAGTCATACATAACATTTAATATACAACTCCAGCTAACCATAACTATTACAATTACTGACTTCTACTGTCACCATACATGCTCTAAAATTTTGACTATTATGTCTAACACTCCTGTCAGGGTTATTATAACAATATCCTTTCCATCTGATATCTACTTAAAAAACGAATAATTCTACTCCAGCTCTCTTTTATACACCATCTGATAACTACTTGAAGAACGAATAACTCTATACCAGATCTGTGACATACATCTGACAAATACTTAAAAAACGATTAATTCTGCTTCACCTCTCTTTCATAAACCATCTGACAACTACTTAAAAAACGAATAATTCTACTCCAGCTCTGTTACATACATCATCTTATAACTACTTAAAAACGAAAAATTCTAATCATGCATACATCATCAGATGTCTACTTAAAAACAAATAACTCTACTCCAACTCTGCTACATACATCATCTGATAGCTTAAGACACAAGTAACTATGAATATTATTAAGCAAATAACTGGTCATGATTTTCAGAAAACGAATAATTCCACTCCATTTTAAATACTTCTCGTAACATCACAGTCACGTGACTTATGCATTGTGATTCTTTTTACTTATACAAAATACCAAACACTTTTTCAAAAACTCATATTAACCGGTGAAACTACAAAACTCCATATGATTGTTATGTATTAGTGGTAATTTTTATAAAGATTATTAGTTAATAAATTAACATATTAGTTTTTGTTGTTATATTAATGTAATTATAGTTTAATATTTTAGATCATCTAGTTATAATAGTTTGTTTATTCTCTAGAAACACGTCATAGGACTACTAAAAATCACGCCTAGCTTACGTTACATCTACTTAAAGGACCTTAAACTATTTTTTGTACTGATAACTCTTACTATTGAGGCATGCTGCTACAATAGTTACACACGTAAATCACATTATCTATTTACATTACACATACCTAAATGAACTCAAAGCAGTTCACAACTCTCATTGACCCATGCCACACTTTGACAAAACATTGGACACTCAAGTCAAAAAACATGGACACTCAAGTCAAAAAACTACTTTCTACTGTTTGCAAGTTGTACTGAACCCCGCTAAGTGTCCTCTGGTCCCAGTGTCAAATCGGGAGTCTGTGGTTATCGTCCTGACTGGATACTCTGAGAATACTCCTTTTGGGATAACACAATGGGATACCTTAAAAAGACACCCTCGTGTAGACCTAGAGTGGAACTTCTTTTGGGATACCAGTCTCGGATGAAAGCTGGAGGTCTTCATGTGTTCATACTGCACCATAAGGCACGAATCCATACTGTACTTGAGACGTTCATGACACTTATATCTATAATGTATGTTTATCATCCTAATAATACAAACCAAAGGGTGACTACTTATAAAACGAATAATTTTACTCCATTACCAATTCTATCTATACATCACATTTACGCTGGACTAACAACAATTTAGTAGCACAACAACTAATGACTTTCCTTGACTATTGTTTATTATTCTTATTTATTTTTTACTACATTTTACTTATATCAGTTTTTAAAAATTTTTCAACTTTGAAGCTTTTTGTTTTCTACTGGACATCTGTCCTTTTGTACTTTTATCTCACTCTGCTAAACTCTTTTTAACTTATAATTCATCCCTAAGGCGTTCACTGCTCGGTGCAGCTTCACTAAAATGCATTGCATTTACAAAAACTTGATTTTTTTTTTTTTTAATTTCCGAATTAATAGGGATGTCCACCTTAAGATGTCAAGATTTTTTTGAATTTGACAAGGAATTTTTCAACTACGTTTTACGAACTGAAATTATTACTAAAGTTAAATGAGAAAAAAATCAACCGACAGTAAAGGCCGTTTTCCACAAGACGAAATATTCGCGCGAAGCGAATTTTTTCGCTATGACGAAAACGCTGTTTTAATTTCCACTTACTTTCTTTCGCGCTACTTTTTTTTCGTTGTCAACAATAATAATGACAGCAATAAGTTTACGCTGTAGGTGTAAGTAAAGGCAGTTATTACTTTTTTAGCATACTTTCTATTTTGAAGCATGTGAAAATTTCATTCCGTGCATTAATATTAACATTTCTGCCTTTTTATGTAAGATGTGATATTATTTTGTAATATAATCATTTAATATAAGGTTTTTTTTACAAGAAAGTATAAGAAAATAAATGCTAAACTCTGATATGAACATTTCTATTAAAAACTGTTACTGCAAGAACGAACAACAGGTTTAACTCTATGTAGAATTTTTCACAAAAAGGTTTATCTTTGTGTGGCCACTTAAAGATAAACATTCTTATGAAGTGTTACTTTCGTAATTAACAGTGTGAAAATTTATATAAGTAAATTCTCGATTTAGTTTTATATATAAATCTGGTCATTTTTTTATGCAAGTCTTGCCCCTTTTTTGATAAATTTACTCATGCTTACCAATTTTCAGAGTAAGTTTATATAAAATTAATAAGAACGCCAGGTTAAGAATTTTGTTACTTTAAAAACATGTTTTCGCTTTTTTTGTGTTGTTGACATCACGTGATAAATATTCAAAACTTCATTGGTTTTCACTTATGGCGATTCGCAAAAAGTCGAAATGAATCCGACTTTTTTTTTCGCTGCAGCAAAAAAAATTCAGTATTATCGCCAAAAAAGTTTAATCTGCGCATGCTTAACGACGAAAAAATAACGACGAAAAAAAAACGACGAAAACGGCCTTAACCCAGCTATAAGTCTAATCTCGGTTTAATTAGTTTTTAATAAAAAAAACATATAAAAGTAGTTTGTTAATTTTGCTAAATAGAAATATCAACAAAATTTTGGGCACATTAAATTCTCTTCAAATTTACCGCTTGGTATAATTTATTAACTGCTGATTTAAACAATAACAAGCGAAAAAAAAAAAAAAATAGGGAGCTCATGATGACGATAACGATAAAAAAAACAGGCTCTATAAAATTTCGAAAGGGTTAGTGTTTGTAGGTATGCCCTACTCGTTGTAATTAAAGGAAATCATAAACAAGTGCCACGAATTTAAAATATCAATATTTAAAAACAAATTTTCTCTTAAAAAATATTAGTTATTGGGAATGTAACTTCATTGGGAATGTAAAAAATATTAGTTATTGGGAATGTAACTTCAAAAGCAAATATTCTAAAATTTAAAATTTTACGGTAAAATTGAAAAAAGTTTCGGGCCTTTGCTGAAAACGGACAATAAAAACAATTTCTTAATCTTAAATGGATAAACAAAAACAGATTTAATGATAAAATTTTAATTGCAACATAAATTTACATTGTAATAGAAGCGCCTCAAGATTTAACTAGGTATATTGATTTAAAAGAATCCTTTTAAAAAATATGAAATTAGGGATAGTTTTTTAGTAAGCATATATTGATATAGATTTTTTTAAAAAAATATAAATAATACAAAGACAATGTTTAAAATGTATTAAAAAAATGTTTGTTTATAAATATTACAGTTTCTTTAGATGTGCGTTATAACTTCATTCGTGTTTGTTACACTTTATTCATTAAACATGAAAATGTTGTTTGTTTACATTGCGTTTTCGTTATGTTAGGAGATTTAGGCGTAAAACTTGAGACATTAAGCGTTATCATAGACAAACTCCTAAAAATAAAACTGCTACAATTACCAGTGATATAAAAAATATATGTGGCATAATCACCATTTGTTGCAATTGATTATGTAAAAATTTTTGAAATATTTAAAGTAATATTGAACAATATAAAAGGTTAATGTTATAATGATTAATACTTACAATGTATTAGTGACGACAATTGCCAGTATAGATTTGATAACCATCTATCCGGTATTACATAACTTCACCAAGCTATATGCATTTCCAATAACAACAACTGGATTGCTGGTATCATTACCAAGCTATATGCATTTCCAATAACAACAACTGGATTGCTGGTATCATTACCAAGCTATATGCATTTCCAATAACAACAACTGGATTGCTGGTATCATTACCAAGCTATATGCATTTCCAATAACAACAACTGGATTGCTGGTATCATTACCAAGCTATATGCATTTCCAATAACAACAACTGGATTGCTGGTATCATTACCAAGCTATATGCATTTCCAATAACAACAACTGGATTGCTGGTATCATTACCAAGCTATATGCATTTCCAATAACAACAACTGGATTGCTGGTATCATTACCAAGCTATATGCATTTCCAATAACAACAACTGGATTGCTGGTATCATTACCAAGCTATATGCATTTCCAATAACAACAACTGGATTGCTGGTATCATTACCAAGCTATATGCATTTCCAATAACAACAACTGGATTGCTGGTATCATTACCAAGCTATATGCATTTCCAATAACAACAACTGGATTGCTGGTATCATTACCAAGCTATATGCATTTCCAATAACAACAACTGGATTGCTGGTATCATTACCAAGCTATATGCATTTCCAATAACAACAACTGGATTGCTGGTATCATTACCAAGCTATATGCATTTACAATAACAACAACTGGATTGCTGGTATCATTACCAAGCTATATGCATTTCCAATAACAACAACTGGATTGCTGGTATCATTACCAAGCTATATGCATTTCCAATAACAACAACTGGATTGCTGGTATCATTACCAAGCTATATGCATTTCCAGTAACAACAACTGGATTGCTGGTATCATTACCAAGCTATTTGCATTTCCAGTAACATTAAATCGTTGTTATATTTACCAACTAAATGCATTTCCAGTATCATTTGATTGTTGTTAACGTTAATAAACTATATGCAAAAAGATACCCAGTAGCAACATTACTAGCATAATTTTCTTCATTGAGTTGTAATGAAAAATAAACATTTTATAATAAAAACATATATCATTTACATTTACCAAATAATCATTTACAATATTAATATTACATGCAAGATTGCAAATAAACTTACCATCACACAAACAAATTGATCATATTTTTAAAAGTTGTTACCTTTTCACAGTTAAATATCACAGGTTACTTTTTCAATATTTCAAAACCCAACTTTTAGTGTAACGGTTGAAGGACCGATTTTAGTTGTCTTTTCATTTTTGAAAATTTTTTATCCATTCATAACTGACTATACAAGAAAAAATTTTTTTTTTTGCAAACCCTTAACTGGAAACAGAAAAACTTCAGCTTTCTGTTATTTGCATCTGGCAGTCATGACAGTTCCAGATAACATCTTCTTTCTCATATGCACACAGTGGAATACTTTCGCATTCACGATGAAACCATTTGTTACAAGTAAAACATTGTGCCATTTGTCTGAACAAAAAATTTAAAATTTAAAATGAATTTGGTGTTATAAATAATATATACGCATACCAAAGTTAAGTGGTAATTTAATATCGACATTCATCTTCACTATGATAAATAGCCTTTGTAAAAACTAAAAATTTCTACATACCCCTTCAGTATGTGTAATATCGTCTTATGCACAAACATAATATTGTATATGATAACATACCTATTAAAAATATGCTCATCTTTTTGGGTCCAAAACATGCGACAGGAACAATGTAGAGGAATATGAAAACTCTTTGCTGTGCATCTTCTAAACATAGTTGGGGTAATTACTTTTGGAAAACCATCTAACTGGTTATTTAGTATACAGTTTAAAAGATGATTCCTCATTTCATTTTGCTCAAACATATGAGTACTTGGTGGAACACCATTTGTTTCTAGTACCTGGCGTGCCCAAGCAATAGAATAAAGCCCACAATCTACCCCATTTGTTTGCTGTTGTACAGGTAAAACTTTAATAACAATTTTTTTTTGTGAACAGTGTAAGATGGAGCATATTTGTCTTTTAGTCTCAATACTTATTAAACCATGAAAAAGACTGTCGAAAATATAGATTTCTCCAGGCTTGCAATCATAAGTTGTAATGCAAACCCAATGTATATTTCCATCATGAAGAATTTGTACAAAAGGTTTGCTGGGACAAGGATCAAAAGACATAACCTTTCCTTTAATGGGATCTTGAAGACCAACATCAATGTTAAATTGAATTGACATCATTCGTTGACAAAAGTGTATGACATTATCGTTTAGCATTTCTCCTTTAACTATGTCATTTTTTTCAACATTTTGGATCAAGGAGCATTTAAGATTCTGAATGCAGTGCACAGTGCTTTGAAGTTTGTCATTATCATTAACTATGTTGACTTTGTGGAATTCTTGGCAATTATCAAATGCTTCTCCTGTCACTTCAATTGATTCCATGGAAACTGTAAATGTTTCACAATTATCATCAATAACATCAGTAAAAATCTCTGAACTACAACATCCATTATTTACATTTGGTGTCACATTGATATTTAAAGCTGCCTTAGTGATGTCGTGTTTTATACCAACTCTTTTGGTCAACTTCCTTTTGCGTCTTACGGGAAGATTAACAAGACTTGGTAAATTAGATTTAATCCAAGTTTCAGGTTTTAGGTCAGGACACAAAATAACACCTTGCTCTCTTTTAAGAGTTTCTCCAAAACTTGTTTTAAGTTTATGAAGTTCTTGAAACAAATTGTTTATTGCTGGTTGAGAGTCACTCAAATGTGTCATGTTTATTATTGCATTTAAAAGTTCGCGACATGCAGCAGGAGTGTGACTTACTTGTGATTGACCATGTTTTTTACTTTGATCAAAGTACAAGACTTTACTATTTATGGAATGAACACTTTTGACTGCCTGAAGATTATATTTAGACACTTCCCAAGATTTGGCATCATCAAGAGGCTTCTCATTGATATTTTCAGATATATCTTCAGTAGGCAAACGTGTAAAATGAAACGTTGTTGAATGATTATTTTCATCTGATAAGGGATCAATGATAAAATATGGTGAACTTCCATAAGATGGATCAAAATCAGACCAGGAAAGATTGAACTTGAGAAAAATGGAAAAAAAATGTTTGCATGGATAAGCACTAAATAGCCAAGAAGAGCAAGTACAACTTGGCAAATGATCAGCATCACCAAGATAGCATTGGTAAGTTTCTCTGCTATTAGACTGAAATGAGGCTACATTGTACAATCTGTTTGTTACTGCACTAATTCTGATTGAGTCCACACCATTTACTTTATCTATCATATTCATGCAATGTTTTACTAAAGGTTTTGGACGATTTGTCAAATAGGTTGGAATGTTTTCTTTATATTTTCTATAGGATGAATGTGTTCTTCTATTTTTATCTGCATAGCTAAATAACAAAAGTGATTGTTTAATTTATGTTCAACTAATTTACATTCAACAACTAAAAATTATTTGCTGTTTACCAAAACAGCTTTATACTTTATACTTAAATATATAAAATCATATATTATATGTATGTAAACTCTCACTTTCTTTGTCGCTCTCTATATATTTACAATTTATTGTATAATATTATTTGCACAAGTAAAATCGTAGAAAATAACCATTTTAAGGTTATCTTAGAGTCTTTGCTGTCATTCTACCTAAGGACTCAGGGTTCAAAAAATGATTGCTCCTCTTACCTAAAAGTATTAATTTTATTTTCTACTATAAATACATAAACTTTATTTCTTTTCAGACCTACGGGATATCAAGAACTAGAAAGAAGCTCTGGTACTCCGCATCCCTGATATCCCTGATCTCTCTCTCTCTATCTATATATATATATATATATATATATATATATATATATATATATATATATATATATATATATATATATATATATATATATATGTATATATATGTATATATATGTATATATATATATATATATATATATATATATATATATATATATATATATATATATATATATATATATTCATGTGTGTGTGTTTATAGATCAGGGATGCAAAGTAGGTGGTTTAAACTTGAAAATAACTAACTTGTCGTAATTGTGAGGAAGGAATTCCTCAATACAAATACAAAGCATAGCTGTGAGAGATGATGTTTTCCATTTTTCCAAAAAACTATATTTAAAAGATTGGTTTTGTCTTTCAGTGCCATTATTAGTATTGATACTCTGCAATAAGCGTTGTCGCCTGTAGGCAAACACCCATCTCTAAAAAAGAAGAATTGTTACAAAAGAAAGGGAAAACTTGTGTTTTCAGAGAGAATAAGTGTTGATAATTAAATCTATAAAAATGTTTTCGTTTAAATTAGTATATATTCTTTAAAATTTAAATTTTTTTATATAATCATTTTTATAAATGAAATAGGCATTAATGGCAATAATAATATAAAAATTTGAAAATTACATTAGTTTACGCTTAATAAAATAAAAATCCTAAGCCAATTAAAAATTTAAAATATTGGAACAAAAAAGCCAAACAAAGTCATGTTGGCAATCAGCAGATTATTTTTTGCACCGGTCAGATTTATGGATTTGGTTATGAAGAGGCCAATTTGGCAACCCGGAGTAAATAGTATGCAAAATTATCTTAATAAGAACCCCCTTAATGATGAACGAAAATGAAAATTTAGTTATATTTAAATGAAATTAAATCAACCTTTTCATTACATAACCAAGTGCTATTTAAGTAATCAGCTAGTTTTGGGTTATTTTTCCACTCTTCTGATTCTTTTAATGAATTAACAGCATTTTTGCAAACTTCTTCTGTTTTAGCATGAGCAATTTGATGTAGTTTTAACTTAATTGCATCTTTTACCATATAACAACCATTAGCAGTTTTAGAAAGCCATCGTTCCCAAGATTGCTCTCGATGAAAGTCACAAATTAAAACAGAACACCCTAAAAACAGCAAGTTGGATTTGGTTTAAATGATCATATAACAATAAAATATTAAATAAAACACAATAAATGAATAACAACGTTAACCTGGAAACACTGATTCTAATGAGTTTATTTCTTCATTTGAATAATCAGTTAAGAAATATTTTGGTTGAAATTTAGGGTTCCATTCCTTAATGCACATTAATGCTTCTGTGATGGCGTCTGTGGTCTCATTCTCACACACAAAAATGGCAACAACCTGGTAATCAATATTAGTTTTAACAACCAGAAAGAATAGTGGAAGAGCGTATCTAGTTGTGCGATATGTTGCATCAAGAAAAACTAGTTCAGGTCCATACCGTAAGAGTAATCTTTTCTGCCACATGTCTTGATATACGAACAATAATGAATCCTTAAGCTTTGAATCAATATAATCAATGATGTTGACACCTTTTGGTCTAAATTTTATCATTGCCTCATGAAAGACTATTTTCCATTCACTAATTTTTTTCAAGCAAACATTCTTGATCTATCATAGATCTACGAAGTTTTCTTCTTGCATTGAGCATACGATTTCGAATTGTCTTATCCATTGGAAAGAAACGTTTGTTTGTCTTTTGTGGTTTGTCAGAAGTAATTTCTCCATGAACAAAAAACTCTAGATGTCGCCTCATTTCAGAAATAGTATTGACACCCTTTTTTACCAGGTCACCAATTTTTACTATGAGATCATCAGAAATAGATTGATTGATTCCTGCAGTCTACAACAACAAAAAAAGATATTGTAGTAATAAAAAAAAATTAAAAACAAAATCAAAAAAGCAAAAACAACTTGAATAAAATTATTAGATATATTAACAAAATTACATCACTGACCTCACCAACTGGATGGTTCCTATGAACAGAAATATCAGGCAATAATAAAATATACTTTCTGGA